GCTTATCCTCAGATTCATTTTTACTGATTTCTGTTATGATGGTAATTTATTCAGCTGAAAAATGCCAAGATTCAAAGAAAATTCAATAATGCAAAACTCAAAGATCTTGCTAATAGAAAAAAATGTAAGCTAATGTCTTTGTAGAAAATGTAGGATCATACCTTTGTGGACTGAGGGTGGGAAAGCACTTCTTCAGATCAAATATCTAGGATAATAAGGCAAAAAAAAAAAGGATGGATTTTATTATATTCAAATTAAAGATTTCTAGTCAACAAATGGCTGGTTGGATCAAGTTAGTAGATAAATGACATATTGGGAGAAGAGATAGTTGCAACATCTAAAATGAACGGGGGTTTAGATCTTGAAACATCCAGAAATTCCTGCGAATCCATGAGAAAGAGACAAAAATACTCAACTGAGAAATGAGCAAAGGATAAGCATGGAATTCACTGAATGAGAAATCCCGAGTGGCTAATGAGTCTATATTAAGAAATGCTCCAATCCAACAATAATGAGAAAAAAACACAAATTACAACAGTAAGAGAAATCACTTCTCATCTATTAGACTGGCAAAAAATTGGACGGATGGAAATGCCAAGTGCTAAATATATAAGGTGTGAGGATGGGGTAGCCTCATGCATTCCAGGCGGGAGCGCTGGCCAGCACAGCCATTCTCAGGAGTACTCCAGCACTTTCGGGTCCAATCAGTCATGCACACATCATATAAATCCTACTCTCAGACATAAAGCCCAGAAACGTTCTCTCGCACAGGTCCTAAGGGCCCTGGAGGAGAACGTTCCATGCAGTGCTGTTTGCACTGAACTGTACTCCATCCAGGCGTCGCTCACTGAGGCCTGGATAATAAAATGTGGTGTCGACTCACTAACAAATATGATCAACTAGACCAGGGGTTCCCAAACATTCTTACTTCACTCGCTCTCAGAGTCTCACCAATGTCTTCAGAAATCCCTAACGGCTCTGGCTACCCATGCTGTTCTGTTATTAAGTAGATGGTCCAAACAGCTTAATTTATGTCCCAGCACACTAGTCCCTGTTTGAAGAAAATTATACACATGTATTGGAGAAAAAAAATAATATTTCATTCTTAAATAACCAGAATTGTTTACTGAGGGGATGTGATGTGTGTGCCTGTGGGGCACCGTGCGGCTTCTCAAATGTTGGGGTCAGGTTGGACACTGTGCCCTTATTTTGTTTGCCCTTGATTTTCATGCAGTATCTGATTGTCACTGCGTCTGCTGAAAATACAGCTTTGCAAAAATAAGATGTGATGGAAAGGAATGTAGCGGTCTCCTGGTGGAGCTGTGGACCACTTCAAAGTAGCAGTTCACATGGTGCCTGACAGATGTTTTGCATCACTGCTTCACCACAAAATGGGAAATATCCCAGAGCACCTCTCCGGGTTCCCTGCAGCTTCCCAAAGCACCTTGGTGCATAGTTTGGGAACCACAGGATTAGCTGTATACATGGCATCGTCAATAAATCTTCAAAATGGTGCTGCATTTTAAAAGTACTTAAACTGAATGTTAAGTACTTCTCCAAAACTCGCTGAAGGCCTAACTCCCGATGTGATGGTAATAGGAGATGGGGCCTTTGGGAGGTAATAGATTTAGGTTAGGTCAGGATGGGGACCTCATGAGGGGATTAGTACATTTTAAGAAGAGGAAAAGATGAGAGTGCTTTCCCTCTCCCCATACGCACACTGGGAGATAACGTCGTGTGTGAGCATACATTAAGAAGGCTGCTGTCTACAAGTCATGAAAAGAGCCCTCACCAGGAACCAAATTGGCCAGCCCCTTGATGCTAGAATTCCCAGCCTCCAGATCGGTGGGAAATAAATACCTGTCATTTAAGCCATCATCTGTGGTAATTTGTGAAAGCAGCTCAGGCTGAAAGGCACAAAGTACGGTCTATGGGCCTGCTCTCGGTGGTTTTAAAGACCCACCCTCTTTACTGCTAACCCAGAGGGAGAGGCTCCTAGGCAGCACTAGACCCTGTCAAAAGCCCCATCCCCCAGGAAGGTTCTAGTGCAGGGGTGTCCAATCGTTTGGCTTCCCTGGGCCGCACTGGGCCACACATAAAATATACCAATGATAGCTGATGAGTTAAAAAAAAATCCCCCAGAATATCTTAAAATGTTTTAAGTAAGTTTATGAATTTGTGTTGGGATGCATTCAAAGCCATCCCGGGCCACATGTGGCCCATGGGCTGCAGGCTGGACTAGCTTGTTCTAGTGGCTTCCACCACTATGCCCTTCTCAGGGTCTCTTCCTGTGTCTTTGATGTCCTTCACAGCTCCCTATGGGGGTTCATCTGTCTACTCTGAGCCCTTTCTGTGCAATCGAACCCACTCTTACTGGGGGCTGGTACCTCCTGTCAAAAGACAAAATTACAACAAATCTAGTTTAAAGATCCTAAATGGATTTTATTTGTGATTCTAGAATTGGGCAACACCTCATTCCGTACAAAAGAAGGAGTGTTCCAATGAGCTGAGCGAAGGAGGTATAAGCACCCAACAGGTTCACCTTGCCCACTGTCTAGACAGAGCCAATTTATCAAGTCAGGGGGACTGCAACAGAGAAAGAGTAATTCACGCAGAGGCAGCTGTGAGGGAGACCAGAGTTTTATTATTACTCCAATCAGTCTCCCTGAGCATTTGGGAATCAGAGCTTTTGAGGATAATTTGGTGGGTGGGTGGAGGCCAGAGAGTCGGGAGTGCTGACAGGAATTTGAAGCTATCTTCTTGCGCTGAGTCAGTTCCTGGTTGGGGCCACAAGATCTGATGAGCAAGTTATGGATCTGGGTGGTGCCAGCTGATCCATCGAGCGCAAGGTCTCTAAAATATCTGAAGCACTGATCTTGGGTTTTACAACAGTGGTGTCATCCCCAGGAGCAATTTGGAGAAGTTCAAAATCTTGTAGTCTCCAGCTGCAGGATTCCTAAACCTTAATTTCTAATCTTGTGGTTAATTTGTTAGTCCTACAAAGGCAGTCTAGTCACAGGCAAGAAGGGGGTTTGTTTCGGGAAAGGGCCGTTATCATCTTTATTTTAAACTATAAACTAAGTTCCTCCCAAGGTTAGTTCGGCCTCTGCCCCGGAATGAGAAAGGACAGCTGGGAGGTTAGAAGCAAGATGGAGTTGGTAAGTCAGATCTCTTTCACTGTCTCAGTTAAAATTTCACAATGGCAGTGTCATTAAGTGGCATTAATTCACTTCTCTACCCCTCAGTTTCTCTCGCTGTAAAATGAAGACGGTAAGTTATACAAAGTTCAAAGTGAGTTTATACTGGTAGACATCAGAATAGTGATTGCCTTGGGAGTTAATGATTGGGAAGGATCATGAAGGAAACTTCTAGAGTGGTGGAAGTGTTCTGTCTCGATCTCAGTGTTTATATGGATATATACATACATTTTTAAAAAGTCATCAGCTGGGCGCGGTGGCTCACACCTGTAATCCCAGTACTTTGGGTGGCCGAGGTTGGTGGATCACATGAGGTCAGGAGTTTGAGGCCAGCCTGACCAACATGGTGAAACCCTGTGTCTACTAACAATACAAGATTAGCTGGGTGGTAGTGGCGTGCGCCTGTAATCCCAGCGACTTGGGAAGCTGAGGCAAGAGAATCCCTTGAACCCAGGAGGCGGAAGTTGCAGTGAGCTGAGATTGAGCCACTGCACTCCAGCCTGGGCGACAAGAGCAAAACTCAATCTAAAAAAAAAAGTCATCAAGCAGTTAACATTAGTGTACTTCATAAACTTTACTGTATTTTATACCTTCATTTAAAAGTTTTAAAACGTGTAGATAACAGTACCTATCTCCCAGATCATTGTGAGGATTAAGTGTGGTCAGCAGGTTGCATAATTGTTTCTGATCTCAAGAGTATCCAGTATTTGGCTACTGTCACAGGTGGTGACTGACGGAGGGGCTGTGTCCCCAGTATGCTGCGAATGTCTTGGAGGACAAGTATGTCGGCCCCTTCTTGTTCCAGCAATGAAGAGGATCACATCTAGACTCCGAGCAGCTCAAGTTCAGCAAGGGATACAGATCATTTCAAGTGCGTAAGAGGGGCACTCAGGTGGACTGGGAAGTTGGTCGGAGGGGCCTCTCACATGCACATGCTGGGTTTGGAAGGAATTCTGGAAAGCAGTCAGTCTCAGGGACAAGAAGGAGACCGCTGGTGGGACAAGGTGCCCTCAGCTCCGTGAATAAACGGAGTGGGTCTGACTTTGGTTCCCATTCCGCTTTACCACACCGGGAACACATCAGGCCATCAGTACCAGCTGACTCCAGGAATGAGGGCCCCTCCGGGGAGGCATCAGGAGCTCTGAGTTTGAGTACACATGTGGGATGCAACACACTGGCAACCTCTCAGATTTGCTGGGGGTTCATCTGTCCTCTCAGCCCTTTCTGTGCAATCTAACCCACTCTTACTGGGAGCTGATATCTCCTGTCAAAAGACAAAATCACAACACATCTAGTTGAAAGATCCTAAACGGCTTTTGTGATTCTAGAATTGGGCGACACCTCATTCTGTACAAAAGAAGGCGTGTTCTGATGTTCTGAGCAAAGGTATACGGCCCAGCAGGACAGGGCTTGTCAGAGCCCGGTGCTTCCAACCCAGGGAGCATTTCCCTGTTGTCCCTGAGTCAGCCGCACGGGTGGACAGCTGCTCCGGTGCCCGAGACACGGCCGCAGAGGACTGCAGGCCCAGGGCCTCCAGCGGGTTAGGCAGGGTCCCTGTGAGGGACAAGCCGGCTTAAAGCTGAAACCTCCGGCTGAGGGAAGCCAGGCCACCAAGGGGCAAGGCCCACGCAGAGAGAAGACGAGGATGGGGAGGACCCGAGGCGCTGCGTTTGGAAGGAAAGCGGGCGGCGTGGGGGCGCCGTTGATTGCGCAGGACGCGGTCCCGGCTCGCTTCGCCCAGCAGGTGGCGCCAGAGCGCAAGCCCGTCTCCACTCGGGTCCGCAGTCCGGCCGGGCGGAGCGAGGGGCGGGCCCCTGCGTCTCTGGGCGCTGGAGGGCGGTGACAGCCACGCTGCGGGGCGCACGGACGGACGGACGGACGGACGGACGGACTCACTCGCCAGGGCCATGGCGGAAAGCGCCCCTCGCCGCTGCTGCCTGGGCTGGGACTTCAGCACGCAGCAGGTACAGTCGCGCCGCCGTGGGGCCGGGGGCCTCTTCCTCCGCTGCCCCGGCGGTGGAGGGCGGTCTGTCACCCGGACGCTGGAAAACATGGGCCCAGCAGCGGGCGCGCCTCCCTCTCGGGCTTCCCTGGGACCCCCCGCCCCTGCCCCCCGCGCGGCCGTGGGGCGTCGGTGCCCTCGTCTAGAGATGCCCTGCCAGTGCCACCCGCTCGCAAGAGGCGACCTCGACCCCGCCTGGACCCCGCTACCCCGGGAAACTGCAGGCGCCCCTCGGCAGGACCCCCGTGCCCTGAGGGGCCGGAGGACTCGCGAGTTCATGCGCGAGTTCATGGGCACCGAGTGACGGGGACCCAAAGGAAGTCAGCTGCTGTTAAGGCTGGGGAACAGACAGGCGGGTAGCCGTGCGCACGGGCAACCAGTGACCTGGAAACAGATCCAAGCCCCAAATCTTTGCCGGGCCTGGTGGCTCTTGCCTGTAATCCCAGTGCTTTGGGAGGCCGAGGCGGGTGGATATCTTGATTCCGGGAGTTCGAGACCAGCCTGGGAAATGGAGAAACCACCGTCTCTACCAAAAAATAAAAAAATTAGCCGGGCATGGTGGCGCACACCTTTAGTCTCAGCTTCTTGGGAGGCTGGACTCTCGCTTCAGCCCAGGAGGTGGAGGTTGCAGTAAGCTAAGATGGCGCCATCACTCTCCAGCCTCCGCGACAGAGTGGGACCCTGTCCCAAAAAAAAAAAAAAAAAAAAAAAAAAGAGAAATGCGTACATTGTACAAATGGACTTTACCCTGTGACCGCCCTTTGTTGGCACCAACTTTCCAGGTCTACAGACCCAGGACTGCTGGCCAGAGGAGCGCTGTGCTGCTGCCAGGACCCCACAGGCGGGCGAGCCAATCAAAATTTGCCTTCAAACTGGGCATGGGGTGACCAGGGGCACCTTTTCCTTTAAAGTACTTGGGAAATATCCACAGTTGCAGTCAAACCCCTCTTCTCCAATGGGTCAAGGGAGGCAGGCCTCTGGCCAGTCCTTGAGGGGAGAGTCCTGTGGGACTCTGGCTGACTTGCATTGCCTTATTAGACCTCAGTTTCCCCATCTGTCCAGGAAAGGGGTTATACTCCCGAGCTTGGAGTTTGCTTCAGTGGGACATTAACGTCTCTGGACCGCAATCGTGGCCTGCGGGAACAGCCCATGGCCTTGCCTGGTGTCAGGTCCCTGCAGACATGGACCCCCAGAGATGCTTCCAAACCTTGCTTCCCATTTCTTCCTCTCTGGCACTTTCTCCCACCTCCTTGCCAGGTGCAGGAACCAGCTCATCTGTGAACACTTCCTCTAGAGGGTCTTGGCTTTGGCTGTTTGGAGAACAAAGATTCCTTGAGACATGTTGGTGTTTCTACTTAGCCTCAGTTTCTTCATTCTGCTAAACCTTTGAGTATCACCCCAGATGAGTCCTCTGTTACCACGATTACGGTGAGGCAGTCCTGCCTTCAAGGAGGTCTCTGTCTGAACTACTTCTAGGGTGTGGGGCCTCATGTTGTGATGTTAGTACCCCCTGGACCAGTGTAAAAGCTGAGGAGAATCCTACACTTCATTGTAAACAATGCCTTTCAGGTAAAGGTTGTCGCTGTTGATGCCGAGATGAATGTCTTCTATGAGGAAAGTGTGCATTTTGACAGAGACCTTCCAGAATTTGGGTATGTACCCGATGTGCATGAGTGTGTGATGGGGGTGTTAGTTTTGGGGTCCTCCTGCCATCTTATATGTTCACAGACTGCACTGTTCGGACTTTGCCAAACTACAGGAGTGGTGGTCTTGGCAGACCTTTCAAGCATCTTTTTTCCTGTACGTGAAGTGCCGTCTCCCTCACTTCTCGCTAATTCCTTTCATCCATTCATGCAGTAAGTATCACTTGAGACTTACTTTGTTCCAGGTCCAAGACTTGATGGTGAACCAAAGGTCCTTGCTCTCCCAGAGCTCCTACTGAGTAGAGGAGACTGGTATCAAATGAAGAATCTCACAGAAGAGTGTTTCATTATCAACTCTGAGAAGGCCTCTGTAGGAAAGGATCTCACTTCTTGAAGTGCTTGTTATAAAGGAAAGTGACTCAGACCTGGGAGGGGAAGTCCCAGAGGGCTCTCTAGGAAAGTGGTGCTTAAGCTCGAGATCGGAGCGAGTGAAGTCAGCCAAATGATGGAAGGGAAGTTGGGCAGGTGATGGGAGCGCATTCCAGGAAACGACGTGTGCAAGGGCCCTGTGGCGAGAAAGAGCATGGTTCGTTCCTTCACGGAACTGAAGAAAGCCAGTGAGGCTGGGGAGCAGAGAGGGGTGGAGGCTGGGCAGAGCTTGATAGGCCATGGTGTAGAGTTTGTCTTTATTCTAAAAGCTGTGGTCTGCCACTAACGGCCATAAAGGGTAGGGGTGCGGTATGACAGGTTGTATTTGTGTTTTGAAATGATCTCTCTGGGGCCAGTGGGAGAGCAGATTGGGAGCATGGCTGGAGTGGACGTGGGGAACTATTGAAGAGGTTGCTGCAGGTCATCCGGGTTAGAAGTGTTGGATAGGAAAGAGCTGGGTAGTAAAATGGACAGGTCTTGGTACAAAATTGAATGTGAGGTGTGAGGGTGGGACTTCTGGCTCTTCTTCGTGGTGGATGTTGGATTGTGGAAAAGAATGGGTTTTGGAGAGAAAGAAGATGCGTTCAGCTTGGGCTGCCATAAGAAGGTCCCACACACCGGGTGGCTTGAAGAGCAGAAGTTTATATTGTCACAGTTCTAGACGTTAGGAGTATAAAATCAAAGTGCTGGGAAGGTTGGTCTCCTCGGGTGCCTCTCTCCTTGGCTTGTAGGTGGCCACTCTCTTGCTGTATGTTCACATGGTGGTCACGTCGTGCAGGAGAGCTTGGTGTCTGTGTCCTCTGTATGCTAATCTTACAAGGACATGAGTCATACTGGGTTAAGGCCCATTCTTATGGCTTCGTTTTAACTTAATTGCCATTTTAAAGTCCCTATCTCCAAATAATCACAACCCAAGGCCCTCGGGGTTAGGATTTCAGCATATGAGTTTTGGGGGCAGAGGGGGACACAATTCAGTCCTTAACACTGTGGACTTGCTGGTTTTGAGGCACCCTTATGAGGTCCTGGTAAAAGTGTCCTTCCCTGTCTGTTTTCACTTCCTCTCTGAAGCCTTCCCAGCTGGCCCTTTGTGCAGTCTCATTACCCATCACATTGTGTTGCCAACTCTTTCCCCCCAGCGAATGTGGCCCCTCAGAGCTGAGGTTGGAAGCCATCTTGCTTTCTCACATTTTTTATTATTGCAGGCCTTGCGTGTTTGCATTTTGGTAGTTAGTGTGTTTCAAGGAATTTTTTTTTTTTTTTTAAGAGGCAGAGAGAGAGAAGACAGCTCCTACGCTGTTGTGGGAGGGGAACCCAGAGCTTAGATGATTAAGATATTCTTTTCTAATATATACATGTAGTGCTATAAATTTTTCTGTAAGTCAAATGCTTTTTACGGGACACATTAGCAGCATCCCATAAATTTTGATAAGTCATAGTTGTTTTCTTTTTATTCAAAATATTTTTTAGTTCTCTTGAGACTTCTTTGACTCATAGGTTATTTAGAAGAATGCTGTTTAGGCTGTGTGCAGTGGCTCACACCTGTAATCCCAGCACTTTGGGAGGCTGAGTGGGCAGATCACTTGAGGTCCAGAGTCGGAGACCAACCTTGTTTCTACTAAAAATACAAAAAAATTAGCTGGGTGTGGTGGCAGGCACCGTGTATGGTGGTGCACAGCTGGAATCCCAGCTACTTGGGAGGCTGAGGCAGGAGAATCACTTGAACTCCGGAGACAGAGGTTGCAGTGAGCCAAGATTGCACCACTGCACTCCAGCCTGGGCAACAGAGGGAGATCCTGTCTCAAAAAAAGTAGTATGGAAGTCTGTTGTTTAATCTCTAGATTTTCCAGCTTTCTGTTATTAATTTCTAGTTTAATTTCATGTGGTCTGGGAACATACCCTATATGAATTCTAGTCTTTCAAATTTTTAAAATTTCCTCTCCCTCTCTTCCATTTAATAAGTCAGTCAGTCCTCTCCACTGGACATTTGAAATAAAGGTGTCCATAACCAAAATACAGGATTGCTTTTTTTCCATTATATTTTTAAGATATTTTAAACCAGATACCTGTAGATTTAGTTCGTTCATTCCCCATCACCTCAATTGCATTGTGGGTTTTTTTTAACAACCATATTGAGGTATAACTGATATACAATACTGTATGTATTTGAGGTATAACTGATGTACAGTACTATACATAGACAGAAGTTTTAACATCTGTATTTTTTCATGAAAATATCACTAAAATAAGATAATGAGTGTTTCTGTGTCCTAAACATTTCTTCCTGCCTCTTTGCAAGGCATCTTTCCTTCCCCATACCCTACCCACTGGCAACTGCTGATGTGTTTTCTATCACTAGTCTGCATTTTCTAGAATATTGTATAGATGGAATCATAATTACGTTCTCTTTTTACGAACCTTTAAAATTTCACATAACCATTTTGAGATTCATCCATGTTTTTTTTTAAATATATTTTTTTATTTTTATTTTTTATTTTGAGACGGAGTTTTACTCTTGTTACCCAGGCTGGAGTGCAATGGCGTGATCTCAGCTCACCGCAACCTCCGCCTCCTGGGTTCAGGCAATTCTCTTGCCTCAGCCTCCTGAGTAGCTGGGATTACAGGCACGTGCCACCATGCCCAGCTAATTTTTTGTATTTTTAGTAGAGACGGGGTTTCACCATGTTGACCAGGATGGTCTCGATCTCTTGACCTCGTGATCTACCCGCCTCGGGTGGCTTCTATTATTGCCAAGTAGTATTTTATTGTATGATGTTGTATGGATGGACTACAGTTGGTTTCACCTGATGAGGGATATTGGGGTTGTTTCTCTCTTCTTTTTTTTCTTTTGAGACAGAGTTTTGCTCTTGTTGCCCAAGCTGGAGTGCAATGGTGTGATCTTGGCTCACTGCAACCTCTGCTTCTCGGGTTCAAGCGGTTCTCCTGCCTCAGCCTCCCGAGTAGCTGGGACTACAGGCCTGTGCCACCATGCCTGGCTAATTTTTGTGCTTTTAGTAGAGATAGCATTTCTCCATTTTGGTCAGGCTGGTCTCAAACTCCTGACCTCAGGTGATCCGCCCACCTTGGTCTCCCAAAGTGCTGGGATTACAAGCATGAACCACCACGCCCAGCCTGTTTCTCTTTTCTGCTATTACCAGCAATGGGCTATGAGAATCACGTAACAAGTCTTTTCATTGACATATGATTTCATTTCTCTTGGAAATGACATACCAGGAGTACAGTGGCTGAGTTGTATGGCAGGTACTTGTTTAACTTCCTAAGAAATTCTCGTCCAAAGTGGTGATTTTAATAAAAAATATTTTGTATTGTTAACAGGTATTACATTGCACTTGGTATGTAACTCAGATGAAAAGTCTTAATCCCACCTATGGCCTCATCTTTCCCCTGCGTCCCTTCTCTACAGATGACTTTCATTTGTTGTGTATCCTTCCAGTGTTTTTTTTTTTTTCCTTTTTAGACAAAGCCTGGCTCTGTCCCTCGAGCTGCAGTACACTGGTATGATCTTGGCTTATTGCATCCTCCACCTTCCCGGCTCAAGCAGTCCTCCCACCTCAGCCTCCTGTGTAGCTAGGACTGCAAGCGCACGCCACCACACGTGGCTAAGTTTTGCACTTTTGTGGTGGAGACAGGGTTTCACCATTTTGCCTAGGACGTTCTTGAACTTCTGGACTCAAGTGGTCCACCCTCTTCAGCCTCCCAAAGTGCTAGGATTCCAGGCTTGAGCCACTGCACCAGGCTCCTTCCAGTGTTTTTACATGGAAATATAGGAAGATACGGATATTCTTATTTTCCTCCTTTCACGCAAGAAAAAGCGTAGTGTACACACTGTTCTGTACGTTGCTTCGCTCCCTCCACGGTCATGTGGCTGTGTTTATATGTCAACACATAAAAACGGCTGTGTTCTCTTTTATAGGTGTGTAGTGTTTTATTGTGTAGATGTACCATTTTCTAACGCAGGACATTGCCTTATTTGCGGTGAAAAATAATGTGATACATTACCTTACATATGTCACTGCAGATGTGTGCCAATTTATTTGTTAGTTAAATTTTTGGGGAATGGGATTGCTAGTTCAAAGAGCAAATAGATTTATAATTTGGGGAGATGTGGGCAGATTGCCTCCCATAGGTGTTATACTGATTTTCATCCTACCACTAACACGTGAGACAGCCTTGCCAACATAGCGAGATTATGGAGTTTTTGATTCTTTGCCAACATGATAGGAGAAGATGTTTTTTTCCTATGTTGAAGGGCTACTTGAATTAATTTTTCTGTGAAGTTGTTTTTAATGTCCTTTGCCCATTTTTCTGTTGGGTTGGTTATCTCTTTCTTATCATCTGTTGGGGTTGGTTGTCCATTTCTTGTAATTTCTGGGAGCTTTTCATATGTTGGAGGAATTCTCTCTCTGTTATTGAATGAATTGCAAATACGTTTCCCAGATTTCGTTTGATTTTCAACTTGCTCTGGGTTGTTGCTGTTATTGCCACACACAGATATTTACGTCATTGAGTGTCTCGGTCTCTTTTATTGCTTCTAGATTTTCAGTCAGTTTAAAAGGCCTTCC